TTATAATGTTAAAGGAACAATCCAGAACTCAAAAGTATATACACACACATACACAACACATACATATACTAAGCAGTTATCGTTATAAGACACCTAGTGGAAAGGGGTTTTAGTTTTTATTTTATATTCCTCTATTAATTCATATTAAAAACACCATCTGCACTTCAACATGGTAGATCGAGTATACACGTTTGTCTCTATTCTCTCCCCAAATGCTACTTTAATGACACAAAAGAATAAAAATGGAATAAACCCACAAGTACAAAGAGAACAGAGGACAAGAATGCTCTCAGGTGAGAGATGGGAAGTTGGGAAGCCAGGAAGCTGAAGAATGAGTGGTATCATAATTGACTTAACCAGAGAAAGCTGAAACCTTATTAGCCTAGGAGGAGATGGGGTAGAGGGGAGGGTGAAGGCAAGAAGCCAATAAGAAGTAAGTCCATTTGTGTCATAGAATCTAGAAAAAGGCTAGAAATTACCTCAAGGTACCTATAAAGGCAGGCACACAGAGTCAGCCACAAACAGGAAGACTGGATGACATTTTTTAAGGGAAACACATTTAGACTCAGGTCCTCCTCCTCCTGGTTAGATGACCTCCCTCTCTACCCTGGTAGAAAACCAGAGGTTGACTTTCTGGAGAGGCTCTGGGCCTAGGGCTGCCAAGCACAGCAGAGGACAGAGGCCATCCTGTTGTGATGGCCATAGAGGAGCTAATCATGGCAGAATGGTCAAGATAGGACCCTAGATTTCCATTAGAGAGACTCACCCAGAAGAGGCGCCACCTGCCTGTAGGTTATGGGAGCAAGTTTTATTAGTCAGATAAATAACTTATCCAGAAAGTAGTTTCCAGTTATGGGGTTATGCAGTTATGAGGTAGTGGGAAGAGCTGTAGATAGGCCACACACAACATGGGGCATTGTAGCGAACACTCATTAAGATGTTGATTAAGTCCCAGGTACTGCACCTAGGTACCTCTGCTAGGTACTTTACAGATACTACCTCACTGAATCAGGAAAGGGATGCTTACTGCTTGTAACAGATGCCACTTAACGGGGCTATGGCAGGGCTCCAGAGCAGAGGATTTGCATAAACAAAGCAAAGCTGCAAGTCAAGAGGGACTAGATATCTGGTCAGTATACAAGGCAGGGTCTCAGGGTGTATCGAAGGGAGAGACCTTGATCCTGAAACAAGAGTACGAGGTGGGAGGTTCGTATCAGGGGCACAGCAGAAGGGTAGCTATGTGAACTGGGACACAAGCCTGAGAGGATCTTGCAAGGCTGAACATGCCGGATTCTCTGAGAACCAAAGAAACCAGAACTCCTTAAATCTACAAGAATGAGGACAGGATCCTCCCAGATCCCCAAAGCAGACAAACCCAAAAGCTGCCTCCATTGGATGGAACCAGAGAGGTGGCACCTGAGCAACTCCGACGGACTCTGAACTCTGCTCGTGGACTTGGTGGCTTCAATGAAGTCCAACAGCAAATCAGTTTCGTAGTCACATATTGTACAACTGGCATCCAAATGGAACTCTTTCTGATTGATCTAAGAAACTGAGTCTGAGAAATTGGGTCCCGGACAAGGGCTATTCCTGACACTCTGGGTGTCACTTGAGCTTCAGAGTTAATAGTTCTAGATAAAGACTATTATAACAATCTCATCTATTTAAGCTTCCAACGATGTTGCTCTCAGCAACTGGGAAGTTTAATAAAATTGCTTTCCAACATCCAGGTATATCAAGCAGACTACATTTTACAGACACTTTTGACACCCTGAAAGCACTTTAGCTTAGTACTCATAAAATCAACAGAAAAAGCAACTTCCTGGTGTACAGTCATATAGTGTAGTGTAGTGTATTCTTTTCCAACTATCCCATTCATTTGCTCTAGTTGATAACTACATAAAACCATAGAAAATAATGACACCTAGTGTCCAAAAATGTTACTCTGCTTAGAATATGAAACAGATTGGTGAGCTATGAACAGGGACAGAGCAAAGGGAGATAGCCAGTACATCTCTACAGAAAACAAGTAAATAAAAACATCATTTTTCCTTTGTCCGCTAACAACAAAGAGGACTTTCTTACTAATTTCATCCTCTCAAGTCTGCAATGGAGATGTAGGTTCCTTTTAGATAGAAGGTCTGTGCAAAGGCTGTTACAACCTCACAGAGATAGCAGCAGGGGCAACTCCAGGCTCCAGCAGAACCACAGCCCCAGTATCAAAACCCAAAATATTACCTGCTGTTCACCAGTTCAAAAAAGAAATAATAAAAAAAAAAATCCCAAACAAAAGTGAACTACCAGCAACCTGGGAACTGGTTTGTTCTAAGCCCTGGAGATAAATTTAATAAATTCTTAGATACCTGATAAAATAGAGTCACTGGTATCTTCTTTCAAAATATTCTTTACTGTCAGGCTTATAAATGAGGTCACTGTGCAGAAATTGTCTTTTGGGACCTGGACTCACCTCTGCTATCCTTTTCTTCAGGTTGTCCTTTCCCATGTATGAAGCCTGCAGGGAGATGACATTCTCTTCTTTCTGAATCAAAGTTGTCAAGACACTTTTAAAATTCTGATATTGTTTTAAGAGCTCCAAAACTCTTCCACATTGTTCAAGACTATGAAGAAAAAAAATATAAAACAGTTAAATGTCTGAAAATAACAAAACCATTGTTTCTCTTTGTAAGTATTTAACATTAATGACTGATAAAAAATTTCCTCTTCACATGGTTTATAATTTTGTTTTACCAATTTAACCTAAGAATCATGGCGCATGTATTTATCTGACAGATGGTATGATCACTGGATTAGTACTGGCACCAGATCAGTGTTAAAAAGTCACCTGATGTAAGTTCTGGAAAGGATTCATAACCCTAAGGAATCAGTATCTCAATTTCATCATTAACTGAAAGACATCTTAGAAAATCAAAATGGTTCCCCCCTAGCATTATTCTAGGAGATTATTTCCATACTAATTCAGCAAGTCACAGGGTGTTTTTGGGGACATCTTCTCTACTCATTCCAGATTTAGTCCTTTTGAAAAAGTAAAGCAGTACAGATAATGTGGCAGTTAGGACGCCTGGGTTCCAGTACAGCTGGGCACTCATTAGTCTTGTGACTTTGGATGAGTTACTTTAGCCTCACTGGATTGCAATTCCTTCCTCAGTAAAATCAGAGGGTTGATCAGATCAAATGCCACTCACAGGCTTTATCTTGACTTCTGTACCCTCAGGTTCTGGTAGGAAACAGGAGGTGTGCTCAGATGGAATTCTGAAGAAAGGGTGCCGAAAGGGCCTCTGATAGTCGGCAGAGTTAAGGAAACTGCCAGGGGCTGAGGCACCCGGGGAAGAACCACGGCAAGTAGGTTACCACTTGCTGCAGTGGGAAAGGGAGGACAGTGCCCCGAGCCACACAGGAGGGCACATCAGGAGCTGTGGGAACCACATACTGAAACAAAGGGGGCGGTGAAGACGCCCTGTTCTCTCTTCTTGCCCTCTAATCTCCTCCTGGTACCCCCCACTTCCTGGCCCAACTGTAACCCCTGGCCTGGGAGCTGCAGTTGGTGGAGGTCAGCCTCCCCCCAGACCCCACCCCGTGTAGACAATAAGGAGAGAAAACGAGGATGGAGAACACCCAGCTGAACTGACAACCGGAAATGCGAGCAATCGCACAAAGAGCCAAATCCCTCAGAGTAAGAAATAATGTCACATTTAAAAAAGTAAGAACTGCCAGCTGGGACTGATGGGTCACGGTCTTCAGAGCGCAGAAAACTGTGGAGACGAGCCCGGACTCTGCAGGAGAGGTAGCGGTTACGGACAGGCAGTGTTGAAAAGGAGGAGGGTGTTGCAGAGTAACGCTGTCCACGCCCAGAGATGCCCACGTGCTTATTCCTTGAACCCTGTGAATGTTGCCCTACTTGCTTCCTCACAAGGCAAAGGGGACTTTGCAGGGGTGATTAAACTAAAGATCTTAAAATATGGGTTATCCAGGATTACTGGGGAGGGCCCAGTGTCATCATAAGGGTCCTTCTAGGAAGGTAGCAGGAGACCTCTGGAAGATGGAAAAGTCAAGGAAATGGGTCTCTCCTAGAGTCTTCAGAAGGAACACAACTTGATTTTAAGGCTTCCAGCCTCCAAAAGAATAAGGTAATACATTTATTTTCTTTTTAAGCCACTAAGCTTGTGACGATTTGTCACGGCAGCAATAGGAAACTAATACAGGTGGGATGACAATTAGCACAAGTGTATCCCTCATAGAACCTCTCAGGCCATAGTCTATAATTCTAGGTCTTGTCCCAGGTCTGGCCCTGTGAGCTCCAGTGTGAAACCCTTATGTGTTTTCAACATAAAAATTTCAAAACTTAATTGTGCTATAGACACTTTCTCAGATTCAGGAGGGATATTTTTTCCTTACCATTCGGTGACCAAAGCTTTTGTGTTCTCCCACAGGAGGACTGTATTGTGGCACTGTTGAGTCAAGGTTTTTTCTCTGCCATCTTTGAATTGTGGAAGAGAATTAGCCATTTCTTGTAAATGTTTCTTCTCTTCTTCATATTCATCCAGATCCTTATCCAGTTGGATTAGTAATTTTTTCCTTGATTGTGAATGAGAAAAGTTTGATAACCAACTGTTAACCAATATGATTCCACACAACTATGGGTAATCTGGGGAGCTAAGGAACTTTAATTCATCCCCCTGAGGTTCATGCCAAAATTACACATTTCCATTACAGAGATCAGGAGGTTCTTTGCATTTCCAGAATACTAATTTGGTGTTTTAAATAAATATAACAAACATACAAAACCATAAACAGTAATGTTTTTCTGTGATGAGCACACTTGTAAAAGGTGTGTGTTATGCATACGAGACAGAAGTGAGAGAGAAAAAGATGTGTGTGGATGTGTGTGGGGAAGCGAGCAGGATACGGGAGGAGGAGAGGGACGGATGATCTGCACACAGGGCTCCTGAGGAAGGGTAGGGCAGCCATGGAGAAAGGGAAAGGCCAGCGAAATCCTGAACTTCTCCCTGTGTACAAAGCTCTCCCATATCAAAAAGGAGCCATTTAACTAAGGGTAGACCAATCCTGGTGGGATTAACTCCATTCGTCTAGGTCTAAATCACTAAATTGCTCACTGCCTCTACTTCCCTCCTCCACTTTTCTCTCCATTCCCCTAAGGCTTGCACTCCCTACTGCTCCACCAAAACTGCTCGTCAAGACCGCCAGTTGCTTCCACATGGCAAAATCCTTGTTCCATTCTCAGTCTTCACCCTGTGTCACTAGTCAGTGGCATGTGACACAGCTGATCACTTCCTCCTCATTGAAATGCCTTCTTCATTTCACAAGTGGCCCCAGGACTCTCGTGATTTCCCACCTACTACCCTGGCTGCTCCTCTTCAGTGTCTGGCTGGTTCCTCCTCATCTCCCTGACCTCTCGGTACGGAATGCCCAGAGATGTAGGCAATTTGGACCTCTTTCTCCTGTCTATCTGAACTCGCTGCTTCGGCAATCTCATCCGGTCTCACGGCTTGATGAAAATGAAAACTCTCAATGGTTTACCTTCAGCCCAGCCCGCCTTGACTCCTGACGCCATCTATTTTTAAGTCTTATTGACATCACTACTTGAGTGTCAAATAAGTATTTCGATCCTATCTTTTCCAAAACTGAGCATACCTCATGGATCTTTCGTTCAGTACCCGATAAACTCCAGTCTTTCTCATTTCAGTTAATGGGAACTCCATTCTTCTGACTGCTCATGTCAAACCTTGGAAGCATTTTTGACTCCAATCTTCCATTCACACCTGGTGTCTATGTGTCAACACTTCTCTACACCATCCCCTCTCCCCAGTCCATGCCACCATCTCCCTTCCCCTGATCACTGCAATAGGTCAAACCAGACTTCCTATGTCTCCTCTTGAGTCCTACAGGCCATTCTTAACACATCAGCCAGACAGAAGCAGTTATGATGAAAACTACATGACTTCCCTCTGCTCAGAACCCTCCAATGGCTTCCCATGTCACTCAAAGGACAAGCCAAAGTCACCACATGGCCCACAAGGCCCTGCATGAGCTAAGCCACATCTCGTCCGTTCCATCTCTGACCCCACCCCCTCTCTCTCCCTGCAGCACCTTCTCTTCAAACACACCCGACCCTGGTAGCTGCTGCTCCCTCAGCCCAGGCGGCTCCTCCTCCAGGTAGTCATGTGGCTTGCTCCTTCTCATCTGATGCCAAGGTCACCTTCTCAGTAAGGCCTCCCCAGTGGCCCTATTGAATTGCAATCCCCTCCTCCTTCCTCACTTAGTTTTTCTCCATAATTTTATCACCACCAGACATGCTAAATATCCTGCTCCTTCCACTAGATAATAAGCTCTACAAAGGGCAAGAAATTCTGTCTATTTTGTTAACTGCTGTATCCTCAATATCTGAAACAGTGCCTGGCACACAATACATATTTTTTCTATTAGTAACTAAATTAATAATCAAAGTAATTTATTATTTATAAACATGGTTTTTTCGTTTACAATGTTAATATGTCTTTATTATTTATGAATCTATAATTAAAATCTATTAAAGCAATAACTAAATTAATAATTAGTTCAACACCTCATTAAGAACTGGGATACTCCAGGAATGAGAATCTCATTGGGAATGAGGTCATGGGGAAATTTCAGAGGTAAGGGTACGCTTAGCTATACCAAGGGGCTTGGCCAGCTAAAGACCCCTCAAGAGACCACTGAGCCTAAGGAACTAGAGGTGGGCAGAAGAGGAGACAGAAAGTGGGAAAGATTGAGCAAGAGGAGAGGAGTTCCACAAAAGTGACTCCTGCTAATTTTCAGGCCATACTCTGGATGCTGGAATTAAAATAGCAGTAGGTATACAGAAGGTCACTGACCTCTACCCCTATTCTGCTCAGTCTCTAGAATCAGCACTGATCTTAGCTGCTTCTTAAATTCAGTCCTTTGTCCTCCCACTCAGACCCCACCCTAAATCCTGCTAGGAGGAGAGGAGGAGACCAAATAACTAAGGAAGAAGCAGGAACAAGATGTGGCATATACATCTGCCACCACTGGTTTCTCGAAAACCAAATGTGTGGAGTTTGCCAGTCTTCCGGCCTTAACAGAAGTCCATAGTAAACACAGAAGTACAGGGGATTTTAAAGTAACTCATGTACAGTACTTTATGCACATCTGACTTCACCACTCCTTTGCCCATGAGAAGACACACTTTAAAGAGAAAAACAATTATCCAACATTTTGTAAAGGCACAATATCAACAAAAAGGAAGCTTGCTTGAAAAGTCTACAGAAAAGCACACTGAACACTACTGGATAGATTGGGATGGAACACAAGTAGAAAGATCTAGGAAGGATTCGTTTCACCTAATAGGTATTTGAACACACAGAAAAGTGTCACGTAGGATGCAAATGGACAGAAACAATACCTACCGATGTTTCACAGCTGGAACAGTAGGATCCTTAAGACCAATTTTACTGATTTGATTCTGCACATCTTGAATATTTTTAAGGAGTTCATTATTTTTGAAAATACAAGCCTCTAGTAACTTGTTTTCCTCAGTGAGCTCCTCCTGCACACCATAGCCACATATCTCAAATAACTGTACTGACACAGCATCAAAAAGTTTTTCACAGGAGGTGTCTTCACCCCGTTCAGCATCTTTCAAGCTCATATCAAGCTTCTTCAAACGTTCATCCAAATGTCTGGCATTGTCTTTCATCAGACGAATTTCTTCCTCTTTATTTTTTACTGTCAAAGTACTTTCTGATGTCGCCTGTGTATCCGAGGCAGAACGGCCTGTAACAAGCTCAACAGGGAGTTTAGACATTCTGAGAGATGCCAAAAAATCTTCCAGAGCTTTGAGGGCATCTCCAATTGTCTGCACCTTGTGGTTCATTTCTTCCAGTCGTGTTTTGCATTTCAGTATAATATTCTGCATTGCATGTAGATCGAATGGGTGTAATTTCTTCAATACAAAGTTGCCAGATTCTTCTAAATTGTTACATATTTCAATCTGCTTTGCTGTGGAATTTTGGATATTCTAAAATAAAAGTAAAAAGACTCAGGCAGAAAAAAGAAAGACTGTGCCTCAGGAATAAACTGCAAATTACCTGACTAGATCTGATCCAGAAAAATGCTTCTGAATGTAACCAAAGCTGATAGTTTCAACATAAGGAAACATTTTAATTACAAATGTTCAGACGGCCCAGTTGTTTCACTATCTGATACCCTTCCTGATATTTCAATCCCAAAAAGAAAACAAGTATATAAATCTATTGCTTCAAAGCAAATAATTAGAAAGTGAATCATTGAGAGATCTATTTTATAATCTGAAAAATAAAATAAATATCTTAGATTTCAAGATGAGATTTGGAATAAGAAAATTGTATAATATGCCAATTTCAGCATACAATTCTAGTATGATATTTAGGAATTCAGTCACTGAAGAAGGTATTCATGAACAAGGCTTCATTTTGAATTCAAAGCAAATATGCCATTATTTGCTCCAGAGTACCTACCTCCAAATTAGTAAGGAATTAAAGAGTTGAGAAATAAACAACAAGTCTAAATTATTGAAGATTTTTTAGTCATGGCTTATATTCAAAATCTATACTATGATGAATAATTAATGACTCACAAATATCTATAAATCTCTGAAGGATGGATTAATCTGTAAATACAATGTGAGAACATATATTTACCCTCAGGTTTTGATAAATGCCATCAGCATCAATGAGATAAAATTCCTGGATGGTCATTTCCTGCAGGGGCAGGTCCAAGCCACAGAGGAGGAGCGATTCTTTCTCCACAGGTAACACAATCTGTAGTGCTGTCTCTAAAGACTCCATTCTGGGTAAAAAAAATAAACCAGACATGAAGGGAAAATACAGCAGAATTGTATCCTACAAAACATATTAACAGGCCGGGCGCGGTGGCTCACGCCTGTAATCCTAGCACTCTGGCAGCCCAAGGCGGGCGGATTGTTTGAGTTCAGGAGTTCGAAACCAGCCTGAGCGAGAGCGAGACCCTGTTTCTACTAAAAATAGAAAGAAATTAATCGGACAACTAAAAATATATAGAAAACATTAGCCGGGCATGGTGGCGCATGCCTATAGTCCCAGCTACTCGGGAGGCTGAGGCAGAAGGATCGCTTAAGCCAAGAGTTTGAGGTTGCTGTGAGCTAGGATGACGCCACGGCACTCTAGCCCAGGCAACAGAGTGAGACTCTGTCTCCAAAAAAAAAAAAATATTAACACCATTATTTAACCAAGAATATAATTATTCAATAAAAATGTGTATAATACTATGTATAGATCATTACTATTGATTTCTCCTTTCACTCTCAAAAGTGTCTCAATATCTAAGCATTCTTAATAGTTTAACAAACATCACGCTGAATGGAAAATTGTGAAACATACCAAGCCTTTGGAAAAAGCAAAGTCTTTCCATTTCTTTGAAATAAAAATATTGAATGTAATATAACTTCATTTTGATGACTAAGAAATCACATAATTATTTTATTATAATTATGGGATAATTTGTTATTTGGAAATATAATGAAGTTTAAAGAATAGGCTCTACTGGTAATAAATTGAAATGTGTACATATGGATAGGTGATATATAGACTCTGTGTCTCAGTTTCTTCCTACACAAAATGGGAATATGTCCTGGATATATATCGCCAATGTATATGGGGTAATGACAGCACTCTCATTTCAGAAATGAAGAAACCAGTGCCCAGAAAGGTTATGTGACCTGGCCAAATTCATGTCTCAGAGGAGTCAGTGGGAAGAGTATGCTTCTTCAGTGGCCTTAGGAACCTGTCAGACCTTAAGGTCCACCTAAGTCTCTAGTTACCAGTATGGCCTGGTTGCATTATTTAAGCTGAGTATCATTTTCTTTATCACTAAAATGGCAATCATAATGGTAACCTCTCTTATGGTTGTTGATACATTTAAATAAAATAACACACAGTATAATAATAGCCTTGCTTACAAGGGCATTTTATAATTTAGCAAATTTATTAAATTCATGGGTAACATATCTCAGAATTTTACCTGGCATTAAGTGTCATCTGAAGCTCTCTTTCCTTTCCCTTTAATCTCTCTCTGTCTTTAACTATAAAAGGCTTCTTTTCGTCACTCACAAGATTTTCTAACTTCAATGAAGTGATTTCAAACTCTTTCCAGCAAGCATCAGTTTCATTTTTTAAGACCTGGATGAAACACATAAATTAATTTATCAACTAAGGGGTAATAGGCACAATTCTTACAAAATGAGACAGTCACTAACTGTGGAAACAAACACAATGTGTTCCGAAAATTGTTTAAAAATATCTTCCTCGGTCGGGCGTGGTGGCTCACGCCTGTAATCCTAGCACTCTGGGAGGCCCAGGCGGGCGGATCATTTGAGCTTAGGAGTTCGAGACCAGCCTGAGCAAGAACGAGACCCTGTCTCTACTAAAGATAGAAAGAAATTAGCTGGACAACTAAAAATATATATATAAAAAATTAGCCGGGCATGGTGGTGCATGTCTGTAGTCCCAGCTTCTCGGGAGGCTAAGGCAGGAGGATTGCTTGAGCCCAGGAGTTTGAGGTTGCTGTGAGCTAGGCTGACGCCACGGCACTCTAGCCCAGGCAACAGAGCAAGACTCTGTCTCAAAAAAAAAAATATCTTCCAACCACCTACAAGTATACTATCCTTTAGGGAATAATGATATTAACTGTGCTCTCAGAGGACCCATTCAATGAAGTCAAGGCAGTCGACAATACGGCTGTCAATGGTATCCAAACTCCCTTCCCCTAAGGTAGAGACACAGAATACAATTTAGAAAGATACATATAGATGTAAGAACAGATATTCTATTTTCTCTATATAGTAAATCTTCGTTACCTTCTACAAGAAAACTGGAGTGAACCAAAACTGTTTCTATACAAACAAGAAGTGAATGAAATTAGCTTATGATCTATAATTAATACCTATAATTCTATACTATTCTACCTCATTTTGTGTTTTTATTATTTTTTTAAAGGCACTGCTACAGGCCAGGCGCGGTGGCTCACGCCTGTAATCCTAGCACTCTGGGAGGCCGAGGCGGGTGGATCGCTCAAGGTCAGGAGTTCGAGACCAGCCTGAGCAAGAGCGAGACCCCATCTCTACTAAAAAATAGAAAGAAATGATCTGGACAACTAAAAATATATATATATATATGAAAAAATTAGCCAAGCATGGTGGTACATGTCTGTAGTCCCAGCTACTCGGGAGGCTGAGGCAGGAGGATCGCTTAAGCCCAGGAGTTTGAGGTTGCTGTGAGCTAGGCTGACAGCCACGGCACTCACTCTAGCCCAGGCAACAAAGCCAGACTCTGTCTCAAAAAAAAAAAAAAAAGGCACTGCTACAAAATCCTACTGAGAGATCAGCAGTGTAATTTGTTCTTCACTTTCCCCAAAGATCAGTACAACTTTCTAACCAGCTCATTATTGAGTCACTGGGGAAAGGTCTCCAGATAGTTTCTTAATTGTGATGAAAACATGCTAAATCCATCACTTGAACAATAGGGATTTTAACACATTAATTTTGCATATCAGATGAAAAGTAGAGAGGAGCCAGACAGTAGAGTGTGACTGAGACCTGGCACAGTAAAATGAAGGAAACTAGAAAATATGAGAGGACATTGTAGGAGCCACCCATGGCCCTTTTCTCTACCTACGAGGGGTTCACTCTAATGCACTTACAAGCATGCAACAAGAATGCTATGCTGCAATGCACAGATAATCTTCAAAATTAGGAAGACACTTATTTGTAGACCTTATGATGTGTGTACCCACCACTGATAGATTATTCTTTCTCTCGCTCCTGAGTATTGCAATACTTCCTCTGCAGGAAGATGATCCATCATTTAGAGTGAAAACACCTCCACTGTCTGCCCCTCAATGCCCAACATCTGACAGTCAACAATTGGTGCACAGCACTTTTAGACAATATGACAATCTCATCAAGATGATAAATGACTGAAACAAATATTCAGAGTCACTGGTTTGTCAATTTTGGAGCAACTACGGATCAAGTTGAAAGCACCTTCAAACGTGTTTTTGAGCAATTCATCTGAAGCCCTAAGCACAAAAGCAAATAAGAACAAACAAACAGAAAAAACCTTTTCAAGCCACAATGTCTGCAGTACCAGATTAGAATACAGGCAATAAATTAGGACACTGCATCAAAGTCTTTCCTTGGTTTAGTGCTTGAAAGCAAATCACTTTCTGGAATAAGGTGATATTAGAAATGCAAACCAACAAAGAGAATTCTTTGGAAACATTTAGTATATGTGATCTCAACAAAAATGGTGATGTCTGTGCCCACAGTGGTATTATTTTCTAACAAAAGAGACAATCAGAAAAATAATATTTTAAGAAATTACCATTAGATCTGTCATTTTATCCTGCAGACAAGAACTACTCCTTTCCTTTTCAGTAGAGAAATCAGAAGTAATTCTGAATGTGTTGTTTTGTAGGTGTAATTCAAGAATCTCTTTGTGTGTATCATACCTGAGAAAAAAATTAAATGCAACATTATAGTACTTAATTTTTAAAATAAGACAAAAATTTTTTAATTAGTGTCAATTGTACATGAAGAAATCCCATGGAATTTCTGTTTAAGTTACTGGACCACATGCTAGACTAAAGGAAAACAAAACTATTAAAGAGTATAATATGTTTGCATTCATGAAAGATTTTTGATGGATTTTCCAGCTGTTGAAAAACAGCTTACCTCTCTAGTAAAGTATTTACAGATGCACTGTGATCCTTCTCATCCTTCTCTGTAATGCTTTCTTCTTGTTGAGGCTTTAACTCTGATGCCAGGTTAAAATTCGTAATTGGTTCCATTGCCTAAGCAAATACGTAAAACAGTAAACATATTATCTTAAACATACTTAATTACTGGGAAAAGATAAATGCCTTATGCTCTTTATACCCCAAACCAAGAGAGAATACAATTTGTTTGAGATGTCTCAGCTCCAAGAAAAGTCTTCCCATAGGACAGAGGAGATTTATTAGACTCAGTCTCACCTTCTAATTGGTATGACAACAGGCAAAGGACTCTCCCAGGCCCTAAATGTTGTTCCTGGCTGAGACCACATAGCCATAAAGTAGACAGTCAAAAGTAGACAGAAGTCCAACACATAGGAGAAAACCTCTGAAAACAAACAGACCTTGTTCCTTCCCCCTGAACATTCTGACTGGCAGTCTTGGGTAGATATACAGTAAGTGCCAAACGACCTGGACTTCAAGAATTTAGAAAATTCAATTCCCGAAGAAAGTAAAATATATTATAATGAGAAAAGGGAAAAGTAAATAATAAATGAACTTGTTCGTCTCACTGAAACTGAGGCATCTGTGCAGCTCAAGCTGAACCTCTTCTACCCTCCGCAGCAATGTACAAGGCACTATGCATTCATAATGGTCCAGAATGGTCTGTTTGAAAGAACTGTTTGTATACTCAGAGGAAGATGAGGTTATGCTCGCTATAACTTTGGTTCATTGCATCCTAATTCTTTGAAAATCAGTCTTCCTTGCATTATGTAAGTGGGTATTCTCATTTGATGAAAACAATCAGATAATTAAAACCAAAAATTAATGAGAAGTGGATTGTTGTCCCATTGGCCTTTACATTGGGTTTACTTCTAAAACACATTATCCACATTTACCACCTTTTCGGTTGATGGCTGGTGATCTGATTTTGCAAATGGCCCCTCACTGTGGAAATCCCTTCCTCTGTTCTCTGATGTGGTCGTGGTCCCCCTAAGAAGGAATCAAAATTGCATATTAAAATAGAGTAAGAAAAATGAAATTTAAAAGAGAATAAATAATGCCTAATGTCATTTGATTTTGCAAAAGGCTTCATCTCGTTTTACCCTGAAGCAGAGCTGTTCTTATGAAGGAGGAGCTCGTTTTTCGACGTGCCTCCCATCGTGGGCTGCAACGCCGTGTGAATCTCGGAAGCACATTTCAGAAGTCGTTCTATCTTTTGTTCATAATCTTTGAGTACTCTCTGCACTTCTTGCTGACTCTTCTGTGAAGTCAGCTCTTTACACAGCTCCCGCAGGACATCCATGTGGTGATTAAGCTGGTACCGAATGCCGTCCTCAGAAAAGCAAGCCTAATTGAAGAAGTAAGGCAGGAAATGTGCTTCAGATGAGTTTACATGATTATTCCACAAGGATTAGAAACGAACAGATGTGTGTGACGTTAACAACGCATTCTTTCACAGGCCATCTACTGTGTGCCCGGTATGACAGCAGGCACTGGAGGAAAAAAGATGAGGAAATCAGCCCTAAAGGAATTAGCAGTTCAGTAACATAAACACACAAATAACCAGCACATGGTGTGAAAGGTGTTATGCTAGAGCCCCCACCTGCCTGAAGGAAACAGAGAAAGCCACCTCACAGGAGGAAACCACGTGAGCTGGATGCGGAAGGAACAAGTACGAGTTCTCCAAGTAAAAGAGGAGAGAGGACCTTTCCAAGAAGGATCCAGAGCAATCTCCAAGAAGATGAAAAGCCCCAGATGTTCTGGAAGGACCAGTAGTCCCATGTGGCTAGAGCGCACAGCACAGGAGAAGGGATCCTAAAGGGGTGTCCTGGGGCCAGACTGTGAAGGAAACGAGTGGTCTTCCCAGAAGTCTGGAGTTGTCCTGAGGGACATGACGAGCCAGAGATATAACATACACAGACCAAGGGCTCCTAAGGATAACTCTGGTGGCAGGTATGGGAGATGATGCCATCATCATCATACTGAGACAACATCCCTAGCTTAGGAAAGTGGCAACACCAATGGAAAGGGAGGAAAGGAAGCAGCTGCTCTGAAAAGTAGCAGGTGGGACTTGGCAACAGACTCGATAAGGGCTGAGAGGGAAGGAAGGGGAAGGAGGGGGGGGCATTTGGAGATAGCAACCCCTTTCATAACCAAGATGCAGAATATAAAGGAGGCAACATTTGAGAGGAGATATTATTGCTTCCATTTGGGACATGCTGAATTTGAGGTCTCTGAAGAATACCTGTGACATCAAATAGAACATGGAACTCAGGTGAAAGGATTCGGCTGGAAAGATTAAGGTACTGTCAGTGTAGAGGAGGCAGGTAAAACCCCAGAGCACATAAAATCACCTACAGGAAGCAGAAAATTAGCCAAAAATGAACACCTCCCCCCAAATCAAAACATTAAGATAACAGAATAAAAAAGGGAAATTTGTGAAGGACAATAAAAAGAAGGACCCACTTCCAAAGTCAATTTTTTTTTTTTGAGATAGTCTCACTCCATCGCCTGGGCTAAAGTGCAGTGGCATCATTATAGTTCACTGCAACCTCAAACTCCTGGACTCAAACCATCCTCCTGCCTCAGGCTCCCAAGTAGCCAGGAGTACAGGCATGAGCCACCACACCCTGCTAATTTTTCTATTTTTTTGTAGAGGTGGGGTCTTGCTCTTGCTCAGGCTGGTCTTGAACTCCTGGCCTCAAACAGGCCACCCACCTTGGCTTCCCAGAGTGCTAAGATTATAAGCATGAGCCACCGTGCCCAGCTCCACTGCCAATTTTATGTATTATATATAAAAGCAAAAGAGAGTGATATTGGAAGAGTCACAGCAGTAGAAAGTTAGAAATGAAAAGAGGGGTCACTCCTGTCGAATATATAAAAACAATCAAATATTAAATAGGATGGAGACCAAAAGAGATCATTAGATTTGCCCCAGTTGCTTTATGTCCTGATTTGCTGGGGTGTACAAAAGCTGTACTTCTGAGGACACCGTGTCCTGACAAAAGCAACTGTGGGTACTTTGGTAACAGTCGACACATTTGTGACCAGAGAGTCTCAAGACAAAGGCCGCTGAGTCACAGTAAGGGAAATCATAAAATATTAACTCAGTGATGACTTTTCTCACTTCTGCAAAGTAGAGCACAGGTTCTAGTGAGAGCTTGAACCACAGAAGTGATAATCCCAGAGGACAAAAGAGCTAGAGGAATTTTCAGAGCAGATTTAATCCTAGGCTAAAGGAATACACAACCATTTAAGGTAAACCCCAAAACAATGACAAAATTAGAGTGCAAATAAACTGTTGTACCTCATGTTCTTTGATGAGACCCTTGGTCCTTCCTCTACGAATAAGTTTCTTTTCTTTATTTACTTGCTTTTCAAGTTTTGAAATATTGTCACTAAGCTTTCCTTTTTCAATATCTATTTTTAGTTGTTGAATATACAAAGACAGTTCATGATGAAGAGACTGCAAAAAACAGAGGACTGTATTAACTGTGGGAACAGAACACACTGAAAAAGTATTTGTAGCGACAATAAAAATGTGTAGTAACAAAAGGACAGAAATAGAGCTTAAGTGATTTTCTCATGTATCCATATATCTTCAGGGAGAGTATTTTAAAACATCCCAAACCCATAAACATATTTTTTTTTTCTTTTTAACAACTAAAAATGTATTTTAGCTGTGAAAGACACTGTTAAGAAAATGAAAAGACAAGCTACAGATGGGGAGAAACTATGCAAAACACGTATCTGAGCCAAAGGAGACATAAGTAAATCTAATGTGTATCCTGGCAAGAGGAAGATTAGGGGAAAACTGTGAAAATGTGAATAAAGTACAAACTTCAGTTAATAATAACGTATCAATATTGGCCCATTAACTGTGTCAAAGGCACTATACTAACTAATGTGTGATGTTAATAATAGAAGAACCTGGGCCTGGGGTATACTGGAACTCTCTGTAGCATGTATACAATAATTCTATAAATTTAAAACTCTGAAATTAAAATAAAATTTAAAAGTTTATTTTAAAAAGCATTTTAGGAGGATCCTTAACAGTATTTAATTCAGTTACATATACATATAGATATATACACCCATATACTTAAAATGTCAACTACAGTTCATTAATTATACATTTTAATATTAATTATGAGAACACAATCTCAGTGGTAGATGCTTTATAGAAATCCTTGCAACAATCCTGCCAATTAGGTGGTGTTATTCCCATTTTATCAGTGAGGCTCCTAAAAGTGAAGGACCTGGCTGACTCCAGGTTTGCCTGCCACCACAGCCTACGCCTATTCTACTATGAAACTTCATATGAAACCTGGGATCGCCGTCTGCAGGGGTCAGCCCATCAGGGCAACCCCGGAAATGAGTCTGACAACAAACAGGCCCAGGATCCCACCTTAAACATAAGCCCCAGCTACAGAGCATGTTCTTACCTCCCACTTGGCACAGATAGCGCTACTCTTTTCTTCCAAAGATAGCCTTACATCCTCAGTTGCATTATTTTTTAGCTCTTCAACAGCTTTCAAATACTTGGTCAGACTTTTAGTATTAGAAATTATTAGTGCCTCCTAAAAAAAAAAAAAAAAAAAAAAAAAGCAAATAAGACAATAGAAACCTCGTTCTACTGCCAAATCCTCAAAGCTAATTTGGTATGTCTTTATAACAGGTAGAACTAAGAAGGGAGTCTCTGAAGGCTATTTGAAGATTTACAGAGACTTCTCTTTGTAAATTTAGGTTGATATCCCTTTCTCATCTCTTGAATTCTTTTGAAAAGAGTTACAAAATATTTATTATTCAAATGTGAGTTACAGAGTTGAGGCCCAGATTAAGACCCCTTCATGATATTCAAAATGATTTCTGTTACCCCATCAATAAAAAATTAAAACGTGTACTGTCAGGGTAATGAGCCACCAGCAATGTTTCCTCTAAAGTTCTTAAGTTTTGAGCAGACAACCACACTTCACTAGCAATACAATATGAAGAGCGTATCAGCACATATTAGAGACTAGTGTTGCAATAAGACAAAATTCACAGCAGGGCTAATATGGCAGTTATGCACTATTGTGCAAAGCAGTGTTATGCTGCCAGGAGGCCGTATTACCTCACCATCACTTCAAAGTTTTGCCCGCTGTGTTGGCAGTCCCGCCCCAGGGAAGGAGTGGCAGTACATAGCCAGGGATGGGACAGCCTTGACAGGGATGTGTCTGCTCCTTCCCTGGCACACTCTACAAGAGCAGAAACCTAGCCTAGGTAACTCATGAATGACAGAGCAAAAAAATAGGTCAGGGCCTGTGAAAAAGCAGAAAACCTACAGGAAGGAGAAGATGACAGTAATTCCAGGGAGAAGCAATTTGTTCATTCACTCACTACACGTGTATTAAGTATTATGGGCTTGCTGCAGGTGGGGCACCATGCTGAGCTCCAGGGTCCTCCTCTGAGGGCTCCTGAGGAATGCCTGACTGATGACCTAGGGGACACCCCAGCCCTGTAGGCCAGCGGGGCGCCCCCACAGTCAGCAGAGCCATGTGTCCATGGAGTTTCAGGGCAATACCTGGCAGGGCAGGGACCTTGCTTCTGCTGTGAAAATGTATCCACTTCACTAAAGGCCAGAGGCAAAGGACGGGAAATCCAAAAGGAAGATGGTGAGTGGGGAAAATGGATGAGGACGGACACCTCAACTCTTCTCTCTGGTAAACATGAAGCCTCTATTTTTTTTCCTTCTCTCTTTCCTGAGCAGATCATATCTGCCCTCTTGAAATCTAGCCTAGTGATTATTTAAAAGAACCACTGATTCTTAAGGTCAATTCAGCACTCTCAGTAACCTGGGAGCAAAGTGGGGAAAAAAGACAGAGGGAATTGGTGGAAGTTGGAGGCCAGCCGAGTGCAAACAGTGTAAGATCAAGCAGGTGAGGGCTTTTAAGGTCATGGGAAATGCAATGATGAAATGGCTGATATAACAGGGTCCAGTGTGGTTAACAATCCAGGAATCCAAAATAGGGTTGAGGCCCAGAAGTGACATGAAGAGAGGCTAGAGAGAGTCCCTCCTGTTCACAAAACATGGGAGCAGCAAGACGGGGGCATTGCCTTCTTGCATCTTTCCCCCCGCCCCGCACCCAAATGCCTTGCTCATTTCAAGTGTTTGGTAAGTGTGTTAAATGCTGAATAAACAAACAAACAACAGGATACAATACTACTCTACCTCTCCAATGTGTGCCAGGGTGGAGACACTGTTTAGCTTTGCTTCTAATCCCCTAGAACCTCCAACAGTGTTAATTAATAGTGAGTCTCTGGTTTGGTTCCATCTTAAGCTGTAACCAACTGCCTATCAAACCATGAAAAAACCAACCTGAAACTGTCTCCATACAAAACATTATTGGTCTTTACCTACAGATGAGTATATGTCTGTAAATAACTCTTACCAAACCATTTTAATAATAATAGTATTCTTTTACATTCAGAAAATTTTAACTATGCAAAATGCCTTCATGTTCCCTATT